GAAGTGCTTTGAGTGAACAGAATAACTTCTTGTGTGCCAAGGTGTGAGGTGACCTCATTATTCTCAAATCTCTTTCTGTTTTGCAGCACTTTTTACTCCTTTCAACTCTTTCAGCTGCTGTGGTGTTTATGTTTCTGCTCTGTGGCTGTGTAACAGAGTTTTTTTTTAAATGTCACAGTCATGGCAACCTCAATTGGTTAACTGAGGCAACTTGGCAGAAGTTTAGCAGCTCATAGATGAGACAGTAACAGAGTAAAATTGCAGCAGGTTTGTGGCTTAATGAGAGAAAACCTGGCATCTGTCCCTTCTCATTTTGGTAAAACATCTGGTCAAGGTAGTTTAGTTGTGAATCACTAGGATGCTGGTTAACAGGAGAGATGCTTCTTTCCAACCAGGAGTTCTGGTAAAGGCCTTCAAGCCACCTTGTCTTTGCCTACACCACGTCAGTGCTTCAGAGAGGTGGTGCACTGACAACTCTCATAAACTGAGCTCTCTGCTTACCCTGGGACCAGCTCTGCACGGGGAGATGGTGCTTCACAATCCATGCTCGCTCCTGGGGAGAGCTGCACATCCCCTCGGAGTCTCTGGTCCTCTCAGTTCTCTGCATTTCTGCATTGCTGTTGGTACCACTCACCTGGGGCACTTGTCCTCTAGTGAGGAAGCTGAAAAACGTTTCTCCCAGTTCCCTTGGAGGGCACCAGGCAGCCGTGCTGGTCGATACCAAATGGAGTTTGTTTGGGCTAGCAGAATACAAGCGGATGACTGTAAATTCCCTAGGAAATCCCACACTTTATCAGATTTGTTTTCAAATTTTTGATGTGACCCTCCACGCTTAAAGGGAAAGGAGACATAAGAGTCCAACTGTGTTGCTTTGAGAGCTCCCGTTATTGCCTCAGAGTAGTTCCCAAAGGGAACAGTCTGTCTAAATAATACATTCCATCTTTTGCATCATTAGTTGTAATTCTGAAACTTTCTGGCTTCTCCCGAAGTGATTTTTTTTGCCTAGTTTATTATATTTTACTGTCCTTTATTTGGTTTCTCTTAATAGCTTCAATATTTTCCACTAACTTTATGTAGCTTGGAGAACTTGACTACATTGATAACTTGGACTTATTTAACCAGCAGGTAAGTCTGATGACTGAACATGTTTCTTGTGTAAAAGTCTAGCTTCCATTTGGAATATAAGATTGCACTAATAACCTATAATGCCTCAGACTTAAGGTAATCTATAATAGAAGAAAAAGTACATTTTTGTTACAGTAAAACAAGAAATAAACATTGATATCTAAAAATATGTGTAAAAAGGTCTTTGCAATCCCACTGTTTTGATTGCCCATTATATCCAAAATAAGTCAAGATGAAATGTGAAACCAGCCAAACTGGTGAAAAGGAAAACAAATTCCCGTTTGGCATCAATTAAAGTATTTCTGACCATATATTTGTGAATTTGCCTTATTGCTGCTCCTTCTAGCACCAGTTTCAGTTGCACTGTCTTTCCTGTGTTATGGATTTTTCGAAAAGCTGCTTCAGGATTTTTCAGCTGCCTCCAGTTCAGCAAAGTGATGGGTTTAGTTTATTGTCGTGACTAAATCCTATTGAAAACCCATGAAGAAGTTCCAAAGGTGCTCAGTTCCTTCCTTGAAGTTTCCTGAACATCATACTTAGATTATTTTTTTCCCAGAGATGCCTCCATTATTCTGGACAGATGAAAATCTGCCTCCCAGCCTAGCCTGAGAAATTCTTCATCTACGCTACATTTTTTTGTATTGACATCAGATCTGTGGAGTTCATACGGAGACAGAGGAATACCTAGAGAAAAAAGGACTTAACAAAACCCTTGTGAAGAGGCTACGCCCCCTCATAAGGGGATGGGGTGGAGAAAATGTGCATGGAGCATGTTGCCTCTGCCTGGGAGGTGTGAAAATCCACTCTTTTTCAGGGAATCTTTCAAGGAAGCCCAAACAGATGCTTTAGTAGATCTGGATAATCTAGACTACAGATAGGATATTTGTCTGTCTCCTTTTCAGATGTCGTGCATGTGACTTCCATGCCCAGCAACAGAAGTTAATTATTCTGTGCAGAAGGAAATGTAACCTTTTACATGTCTAGTTCATAGCTCACTTCAACCATTAAAACCTACTTTCATGTAAATCAATGGAGAAAAAAATATTTTCTTCTCTCTTTAAACTTTGACTTAACAGAGAATTTACTCAATTTGCCTTTTAATCCTCCTTTATTTAATGCTTTG